TAATTCATCGAATATTCATGTTTTCATAAGTTCATTCTAAGATCTATTCTAGAAGTCTTCTAGATAGTCTTAACATTAATTAGCTAATAGGTATATCTTAAAGTTCTTCTAGATATCCTTAACAACATTATTTATCAATTCATACTCTCAGTTCAACAATCATTTCATCCAGAATATTCGTCATCATTAATCCATAATATTCATAAAAATGAACAATCAATCAATCATCATAATAACTAATAACAATCAGCGGCCTAGCATCGAGTGTTAACACCCTAGCTTACCGTCATGCATCACATAAGATCCCTTTTAGTTGTTAAAATACCATCTTTATTCCAAGAAATCATCCTTTTATTAATCATAATGGTTTGGTATCAAAATATAGGATTCCATAACTCAAAAATCATATTTTCTAAATAACAATTGATTAATATATGATAGGAAATTCAATTATTAGCTATTAGCTTCATTTTCTTCAATAGTGTAGGGTGATAGTCTACTGTCACTTCTGATAATCTACTGTGTGATGTTCAAAATGGTCTGATAATCGATTATCACACTCTGATAATCGATTATCAAACTTCAGAGAGGGCTGACAATCGATTATCGCATTCTGATAATCGACTGTTGCTCAGCTTTGTTACAAAAATCTGCAGAACGATGAATAATCGATTTTCAAGTTGATAATCGATTATCCATCGTCTTCTACCTCGAGCCAAATTGCGGAAATGTCACTTTTACTCACCAAACTTCAATTAAAGTATATAAAAATGTTCTCCAAGGTTCATGGATCATTTTAGCATCATTAATTCATTATTTTAACACCAATTTCATGGTTTATGATTCTTAGTTCTTCAAGCATGTCTAACACAAAACTCAACCAAATGACCATCTATGAACGTAGAATCGATCTATATGAGCATTCTAGTCATTAGATATATTTACGGGCTTACCTCGAAGCTTAACGGAGGTTTTGGAAATTTTCCGGCGAAACTTCCGGCGATGATTACTCTTAGCTCCGGTGATTCCACACCAAATTGACAGCACCACAACACTCCTTACACTCAAGGCTACCTCTTAGAAGAAATTTGAGGGAGAATGGTGAAGAAATGAGGAAGAGATGTCTTCCTTATATATTGGTGAAGAAGAAAAAGCTAGTGGAGTTGAGTCAGTGGTGACTCACGATCGGCGAAATGGGAAGGTCGGCTGATTTAGTCTGATTGCTACGAATCTTCCCTGATTGGGACTAATTTGGTCCTAGTCGGGGTACACTTTTTGGTCCAACTTTCTCCGAATTAAAATCCGTTTGCACCATTGCGATCAGACAGTCGAACTCTATCCAACGATATAATTTTTATATTCATTCATTATACTTTTTCTGACACCACATTTTTGGGTGTTTGACTTTAACAGAGTCAAAATTGGTTTAATTGACCTTCCTCATAAAAGGTTCTCTCATTTAATTCACATCAATTATTCTCATGATTTATTTCAACAAATCATTTCAATATTTACATTCTAAACAAATTCTT